AATAGTTTGCTATTCTGGTTTTAAGTGGAATTACATTTTGCTATCTTCAGCGGAGTTGCTTTTGTTTCATATTAGCAGAAATGAAATCAACATGTATGAATATGAATACAGATGAAAAGAGATTAATTCTATCAATAACCACAGAAAGCTTCCTCTTTTGTCACCATATCTACACCTTCCCACAACAGGCATGATGCAACCAATTTCCAGACCATATTAAATATCACTGAAAAACAATTAAGGTGTTTTTTTCAACAAGTTTTAATCATAAAATTATTTGAACCCTTTTGACAACTGGTAAAGAATTTGAATTATATGATTATGTGCCTAAGATGAGGAAAATTACTTTATGTCTTATTACCACAATAGTCTGTTGGAATTTAAGAAGAGTAGCTCCATCATCTGAATTATATGCATATTATTGATTTATGTGTTAAAAGATTATTAGGAAAGGGAATTGTCCAATTTGATTAACTATACATCTGTCCTTTTGCCCCACAATAATACTCAGGTTGCTTAAGCAAGTTCAGATAAAACAGTGAAATTCCAAAATATATGAATAAAACCTTAATCGTAGATTTTACACTTCACTGTCTTAACCTAAAGTGAATCAGGTCAACTATGAAGGCTTGCCTTCCATATTCTCCTAAGACACTGAGAAAAGCAGTGATCAAGATATTGATGCACAGTGTTATTCCAACTCTCTAAAACCAGAATTTAGAATAAAACAAATATTCTACAGCATGTGATAACCAATTAATAACCTCTAATATACAGTAATCAAAATGTTGAGCACATTTAACTGCAATTGTTAAGAGGCTTCAAATACTTCATCTTGAGATAAATGGAATTTTATTTATAGGGAGTGATTTTTCTTTACAATAAATGTATAGAAATGCGACATCTTAAATATTTGCTGCATGCAAGTAGTTTTTTTTTTATTAGCATTATATAACACACCGATTTTTTAGTTGTTGCTAAGTAATGCTTACCCTGATCAAGGACTTTTCAGTCTCTCAAGCTCTGCCAGTGAGGAGGAGGAGGCACAAGAAGCCAGGAGGGAGAAGAGACAGGACACCTGAGCCAAACTAGCCAAAGGGGTATTCCATACCACAGCATGTCATGATTATATATAAACTGGGAGGAGTTACTCAGAAGGGATCCATCGCTGCTCGGGTTGGGCTGGGTAGCAGTCAGCATGTGGTGAGCAATCGTATTGTGCATCATGTGTGTTTATTGTTTGGTTTTTCCTTTCCCCTTTTAGTTTAATATTCTCTCCCCTTGTTATTGCCCTTATCATTAGTAGTAGTAGTAGTAGTTTTATACTGTATTTTAGTTTAGTTATTAAACTTTTCTTATCTCAACCTGTGGGTTTTACATTCTTTTGATTCTCCTCCCCGTCCCACCTGGGCAGGGGTGAAGCGGGGGAGTGAGCAAGCGGCTGTGTGGTGCTTAGTTGTTGGCTGGGTTTAAACCATGACAGTAACATATCTCTGCGAGAATACAATTTAACCTATCAAACTGATGCATTTCTTCAGTCAAGTGGCAGTCTTTGATCACTGAAATAACCACCTGATACAGGACTGTGGAAAAAAGAGTAAATTTTCAGCAACATTTTGGCAAATACTCTTCTTGACTGACAGTGTGAAATGACAAATTAAAATGAGTAATTTTGGCCCAATTTGGCTCACATTAGCCCACTGTATGCTTCAGTGGACTGTATAATAACTATTTTGTTATAGTATGTTTTTTTTCTCTAAAAGGTGTCTCCACATGGGAACTGCCCCCAATTACTAGAACTTTCTAATCCTATTCTTAGTCACAATTTATCTTTAATTTAGTCAGTATAAACAATTCTGTAATTATTACCAGAACTGAATCTGATTTTTCAAGCAACCTTCTCTTTATGAGAAACAGCATAAAGGAAAGATATAGAAAAACAATCAGAGGAAAATAGTAGAAGGAAGATGACAGAAGACTGAACAAGAAGCTCTGGTATTCTTCAGCTGTACTACACTTCATCAGTTGTTCAGTTTTAGAAGACCAATTTACACTTAATTCAGAAGGATCAGAAATATTCCAGAAAGTACATGCATAGAGCAGTACTGTAAAAACATTTTCCTTACGTGGCAGGAAGCAATTAATCAGTGTGATAGACAAGTGTGAAGGGAGAAGGAAGTAGTGTTTTGGCCAAGGAGACAGTAAACCTTGAATATCGTGCATAGTGACACGGCATTTTTACTATCTTCAGAAGGAAGACCTCTTTTTTTTTTTTTTTCCCCTCCCCCACGATCTTACTGGAAATAAACAGGGACTCATTTTTTTTCTGTGAGTCAAATGAAAGCCCAGTTCTTATACCTTTCCATTCCTAAAACCAAGCATGACTTTTTGGCTTCAGTCTGAATACAGCTGGGTTTAGTCCATATTTACACAAACTTGTTTTTCTTATAGGGGAGCAGAAAAGAGGTTGATTTTTTTATCCTACCATTTTCTTTAGAGGCTTTTTTTTTTTTTCCTGAGTAAAAATTAAATCAAGACCTTTCAAAGTGAAAAAAGGCAAGCCTCCAAAACCAGGATACCTAGTAGCCCATGAAGTGCTTAACATGAGGGGTTTAGATACTACTCACTGTTCAGGGAAATTTCAGAATTAGGTTTTAAGAGGAGGGTAGTCTTACTCCTTTCTTTTGGACACACACTTCTACCTTTTTTCTTTAGTCAGCTTGGCACTTGTCTGAACCACTGATTAGCCAAACTGGCTCAATGTTAAACCATGACAATTTCACATATCTAAATATCACATCTTGCATTTTTGTTGATGTTATTCTCACCAAGACATAAAGGTAAAAGAAATCCTTCCTCATTGATCCTTGTCCTTTGCATTCTGCAACAGGAAATAAAAATAAATAGCAATTCACTGAGCATTCCAAGAATCTTATTTAAACTGTTGTAAGCATAAGATAGAGAACAAAGTAATTCTTTCAATTGGCCTGAAATTCTATTTGTTCAGTGCTAAAGATGTGAGTTACAATGATTGTTGTTCAAGCATGAGCTAGAATCCTGAAAAGCAACATGTAGGCATCTTTCTGTTATTCCTATCATCACTTAAACAAGAAGATCAAAGAAACAGTCTGCTCTTACAGTACTGCTGCAATCATGAAAACACTTCAGAAATTCACTTAGCCTACAAATTCTGATTTTTTCTATTAATAAAGACATAGATTATTTCTTTTCCCTCATGCTTCTGAGTTTCTGTTGTACACAAGCCAAAAAATCTTTAGTAGTAATGTCAAATGACTGTATTCACTATAAAGAACCTCAAATGTTTTGAACTTTCTGGCTGTAATGAAAATATTCAGGAAATGTTAGTATATGGACACTGAGGACAGAGCATGTATAAATTAATCACTGAAATAATGCATCTATACAATATTTATCATAAGAAACATTTGAGGAGAACAGTAAGCCCAAATATATTTCAGAAAAGCTAAATGTCAAGGAACAAAGATACTATAGTACAAAGTTATGGCCAAAAATACTGTATTTTTAAGCAGCAAGATTTTTGCAGAGCAGTATTTATGCATTAGGGTTTTATTCAGAAAAAAACCCACACCCTATATTTGTCCCCCAAACGACAGACAATGCATGCATTTAAATGACAATTTAAGAATAGCAAACATGATCTTTATTTTTTTTAAATGCCGCTAATTAACAAAATGTATCTGACACCCACCCCACCCCCCCTCCCAAATATATTGGTCAATTAAGGATTTCCTTCAGCATGATAAGTAGGGAATCTAGCAATAGACTTCAGCTTAGGCCATCAAAAGAGAGAAAAAAACCCAACACCACAAAACCAGCTTTAGAATTAGATTGAGCTGGTTGAATCCTCTTGAATTTCTGACGCTATCTATCTTCAACATCAACTTTGCCCAAATAATTTTTCTATTCCTTTCTTTCCTGTAGCATGTCAAAAAACTTGAGTGAAAGTTACAGTAAAATCCTTGTGACTAGATAAATAATGGCCCTCAATGGGGTTCAAACTTAAACAGGGGAAGTTTAGACTAGATATAAGGAAAAAGTTCTTTACTGTGAGGGTGGTGAGGCACTGGAATGGGTTGCTCAAGGAAGTTGCGAATGCTCCATCCCTAGCGGTGTTCAAGGCCAGGTAGGACGGAGCCTTGGGTGACATGGTTCAGCGTGAGGTGTCCCTGCCCATAGCAAGGGGGTTGGAACTAGATGATCTTAAGGTCCTTTCCAACCCTAACTATTCTATGATTCTATAATTCTATCATTCTATGATATGACCTTAGTTGTGCATTGTCTGAAGAGGGACTGCATCTACAAAAGTGTGAATGTCTAAAATAGCCATTAAATATCTGCAACAGGCCATTTTAATTTCCTAACTCGTGACAGTCTCTCCAAAATACATTTAATTTTTTGGTTTCTTAATTAAGGGTGGGTAATTTGTAGAGCTTGTTAATAAACTGCACAGACTTCATTAGTTTACTAATGTTACTCTTGTAATGCAGGATAACAATGCACAGAGCTCCAAGAACTTCTGCACATACAAAAGCTCGGACTCTAGCGATATCTCCATATGCAGCCCTTTTACCCTCTTTTAAAGCTTTTGCAAATCATGCGGTCAGTTCTGACTGAAAGCCAGCGTAAAGTCTCATCTCCACTTTTAAACTTAAAATGTTTCACAGTCATGTGGCAGCATGATTAAAAATTACAGATCATACAGTAGTCTGAATTAGAAAAAGCCTCATCATCCTATATATGTCAGGACAGTGTCAATTACTTAGTGAAAAAAGCAAGTTTAAGGTTTCTGTAAAACACATATTATAGCTTTGTTGCACTAGTTTTGTATTAGTGAACACTAGTGAACAATTAAAAAGCCAATATGGATGCTGCCATCTATCTATCTATCTATCTATCTATCTATCTATCTATCTATCTATCTATAGATGTATGTACAATTGTCATGGTTTAAGCCCAGCCGGTAACTCAGAACCACGCAGCTGCTCGCTCACTTCCCCTCACTTCTTCCTCCCCCCACTCCCGGAGGGATGGGGAGGAGAATCGAAAGAATGTAACTCCCACGGGTTGAGATAAGACCAGTCCAGTAACTAAGGTATAATATGAAAGTACTACTGCTACCAGCAACAATATTAATGATAAGGGGAATAATAAGGGAAGAGAATACAACTGCTCACCACCCGCCGATTGATAATACCCAGCTCGACCGGAGCAGAGATCTGGGCCTTCCGGGTAACTCCCCCCAGTTTATATCCTGGGCATGATGCGCTGTGGTATGGAACACCCCTTTGGCTAGTTTGGGTCAGGTGTCCTGTCTCTGCTTCCTCCCGGCTTCCCCTTCTCCCTGGCAGAGCATGAGACTCAGAAAGTCCTTGGTCGGAGTAAACATTACTTAGCAACAGCTAAAAACATCGGTGTTATCAGCACTGTTCCGAGGCTGAAAGTCAAAACCACAGCACTGCACCAGCTACTAAGGAAGAGAAAAATGACTGCTACTGCTGATCCCAGGACAACAATGATTATAGCATTCATAATTGCACTATACCCACAGTTTTCAGTTAAGGTGTTTTATGAGGAAGCAAAAAATAGCAATTGTTCATATTATTGTTTTGGTGTTGGGAGGGTTAAGGATGTAAAACATCTCATTAGTATTTATTGTTAACTTTGTTACTCAACTAGTAAGTCATTCATTTTTTTCCTCTCCTCTGCTGCTGAAAGGCAATAATTTCTGTGCTAAGTGCATTCTAGTGTTACTTGGCATTGTAAATAATCAATCCAATTATGTCTGACCTCTGAATTCTCTGTAGCTTGCTAGCGATCATGCATCTGGTCAGAAAACCACCTTTCAACCTAAACTGCTCATCAGGGTGTGCTACAGTTTTGTCCTTAAAAATTTGCACATTTAAACTTCAAGAGTGATTTTTCACTGTTTCCTTTACATTAATAAATCTTTCTAAAGAACATCAAGAGGCTATTTTGCATGAAGCCTATCAAATGTCTGTGAATTGGTTAAGAGACAACTTTATCAAGAAAGGTTCCTTAATGTGATCACTCATCAATAATTTCATGCTGTACAAAGGTACTTTGATATTATTACAGAAAACACTGTATGCAATCTTATGCCATCTCTGACATAGAGAGTTAAACTGTCTTCTCTACATGTATACCTAGTAGCATATTCACTCACACTGTTGTTTTTGGCATTAGAAAATGGAACATTTTCTTAAAAAAAGGTACATATGATCTGGAACCTTGCTTTTTTCTCATTTGGCAGTTGATTCAATCAGGTCAGTTTCCAATCCATCTGTTTGGCATTTCAATTGGTATCTTATGCTTCAAAAGTATTGGTTTTATTAAAAGCCAGATTTGGCAAGATTTTATACAACAGAAATATTTTTTTTTCTACTGTGGAAAAACACATTTTAAAAAAGTTCTAACTTAAGAAAAAATGCACACAACCATAACACTACCACCCCACCCCCACCCCACTGTTTCAGGCTGTAGCCACTGGGAAAAATGTAGTGTCCATGACATTTGTTTGACATTTGTGAATAAAGAGAAAATAATGGCACATGGCAATTAAAAAGAGATTCTATAATAGTCCATGAACATCCCAGGTTTGTGTCTTTAATTATTTCATTACTGTTTTCTATGCATCTTTCGGAACTATGAAAGACATTAATATTTTGCAATTCCAATATTCTAGCCTCAGAAGTGAAGACAGAATGAAAACACCGATCTCAAGAACTTAAAAGTCACACTATGAATACTTTTGCTCCTTCAGAGAAAGTACGTTCTGTAAAATTTGAATGAGTGATAACTTCAGTTTAGATGATAGCATTTTTCCTGAACAAATCACTCAACAGAAAATATTTTACCAAGGAATTGTACTGGGAAAACAGCCATTGTACCTTTGAAAACATAAGGAAGGGGGGAGTGAGAAAAGGTCAGGGAAAGAGGAAACCAGCTTGATTTTGTTTCAATAGCAAAAAACTATTATCCTTTGTGAGTGTACTACCGAGAATTTAAAACACATTGAGTCACAAGGTTTTACCTAAAAAATAAGAAAATGTGCTGTGAATGTACTCCAGCATCTTTTGGTTTTCCTCCATATAGTTTAAATAAAATCGTAATATTAACTAGAAATTCTTTGGACATTCACAGAGTCCAGGCTGGCAATAAATTAACATTATGCAATTTGTTTTCACAGATAATACAGTCCCTCTTGTTTATCTTCAATCATGCAAAGGTGGTCTTGGAGGGCCTCCTAGGCACAATTAGACCAGGTTGTACTCCTTTAGGTTTAACTGTAGGATTGTGTCCTTGACAGCAGCAAAGACAAAGCGTATATTCTCTGTGTCTGTAGCACATGTGAAGTGGGAGTAGATAATTTTGTCACTATCTGGATTCAGGTCTACAAACATCTTCAAGATGAACTCTCGTGCTGCTTGTGCATCCCGTTGTGGTCCTGATAATTAAGAAGAGAAAGAAAGTTTTTCCTAAAGTCAATTCAATATTTGAGCTTCTTTAGGAAGGGAAGCTTAGGAGCAGAAAACAGAAGAGAGACTCAGTCTGCGATCCTCATGTAAGAGAAAAAGGGAAAGTTTTTACTAATAAATACTACCATATACTATTTTTTCCCAGCAAGAACCATTAAAAAATAAAAATGGAAGGAGATTCCAGAGTAAGAGCTGCTCTTTTCCTGCTGACTGTCCTCTTTCTTCTATAAGATGTTTAAAATAGAGATGTGAAATTGATGATCTATAACCACATGAAATGAACAACAGAATAGTTGCTTTATATTAAAAAATATTTTAAAAATAATAGAATTGGCCCATTTTCAGTCTATATTTACAATATTTAAACTATACTTAAGTACATTCTTTTAAAATGGAGCATAATGAAGTTACATCCTAAACTGGTCTGACACCATTGCCAATAGGTGTTTCATTTACTTTAGTGACAGTCTACATGCTTGATAGTTGAAGCTGTTCAATTGAAAAAGGTTAATGTTCTAAGAAATCAATTATCTAAATTATATATAGGAATCCTATTAAATCTAAATTAAGCCTGTAATTCTCAGAAAACAAAGTCTATGCAGCCAAACTGCATGTTCTGCTTTGTGCAAGACAGAAGGCAAAATAATGACTTCCAATCTAGAACAGTGAGGATTTGTTTATGTTCACAGCCAAAAGAGCAGCACAGAAGCAGCAAACGTTAGCCGAAAGCTATTGTTTTCCTATACTGCAATTATGTTTCAGTGCAATTAGAGAATAATTAGGCCATTATTCCCTTGCCCTCCTGTTTCTGCAACGTGGGTTTCTACAGAACAGGTATGTTTGCTGTGCCTCCTCCTATCTCCTCATTAGTCCTGGTCTCATTACATGACTATAAATGCCAGTGCTCAGCTGTTATACTGTTCTGTCCTTCAGTGGTTATGAGATCTGTACTTAGGGGGTTAGCATGTACCCACATAACTTTCAGTAACTACACAATAAAACTTATTTTTAATACTTAAATACAATTGTGAACATTTCTAATTTGGATAACTGCAAAAATTAGTCAGCAAAGAAAGCACAGGAGAGAAATCATACGCTTTCTAATAGCTATTGGTTTCAAGGCCTTGTGGAAGGAGAACATGATTCTATAATATCTTGGCGCGTGCACATGAATATCATAGAATCATAGAATGGTTTGGGTTCAAAGGGACCTTAAAGATCATCTAGTTCCAACCCCTCTGCCATGGGCAGGGTAACCTTCCACTACATCAGGTTGCTCAAAGCACCATCCAACTTGGCCTTGAACACACATATGCATATATACATGTGTGTGTGTGTGCATGTATGCACACATGCATGTATGTATAAATGTATATAGACGGTTACACAGACCATACATTTACTGAGATGTAGAGAAGAACATGTAAACAGATAAGAAGTCCTCTGAGATAGGACAGAGAAGAATATTCAAAATTTTTAACATTTCCTCACAACAGATTGTAGCCTTTAGCTTCAGCACATATTCTATAGAAACAGCAGAGACAATAAATTTCACTACTATGTTTTTACTCTTAATAAGTTTAAATGTTTGTAAAGGAGATGCCTAGACTTTCAAAGACAGAATTTTCTTCAAAATATGCCATTTATTGTTTTAATCAAATTCCTAGAATTTTGTTAAACAGTTTTACAGTGAGTAGATACAGGTAGGGTAGGTCGTGCCTCTCAAAATCTATTGCACTATTCAAAGCCCCTATCCAAATTTTGTTTACCTAATAAAATGTCTGCTGATTAGCATGGAAATCAATATTTTTTTTTTTTTTGACTGGAGTTCATGTATGTAAACCTGAGGTTAAAAAGAAAGTTTGACACCTCGGTAATTTAGAAAAACGGAATGAGCCAATGTTAGATTTACAATGCCAAATGTTTGAGGCCAGGTTGGACAGAGCCTTGGGTGACACGGTTTGGTGCAAGTTGTCCCTGCCCATGGAAGGGGGGTTGAAACTAGATTATTTTAATGTCCTTTCCAGATGTTAAGGTCCTACTCCAATAGTTTTTGTGGAAGTACATGTATATTTATAGTTAGAATTAGTCTTCACTACTTTCTGAATCCTGATTGTTTACACATTACAGATTCACAGAATGCTTGAAGTTGGAAGGGGCCTCTGGAGATTATCTAATCCAACCTCACTGTTTAAGCAAGATCAGCTAGAGAAGGTCACCCAGGAATACTAATAAGGAGTTAATAACAGTAAGAAATTAATTATCCTAATATTTATCCTTGAGGCTTAAGTTGGCTATTTATCACTTACTCCAAAATAAATTCACTGCACTTGCTCCTCATTGTAAATATGAGTGACAAATTTAACAAAACAGTCTTTAACTCAGAAATTCAAATTGTAATATTTTCCTAAAGAAGTCCATTACTTTACAATAGCATTCTATTAGTATTTAAGCTACAGCTTCTTTTGCTATGCAATATACACAATACTCCAAGTAAGGTCTCACGAGAGCAGAGCAGAGGGGCAGGATCACCTCCTTCGGCCTGCTGGTCACACTCTTTTTGATGCAGCCCAGCACACGGTTGGCTTTCTGGGCTTCAAGCCCACACTGAAGCCATCTCATATTCAGTTTCTCATTGACCAACACCCCCAAGTCCTTCTCCACAGGGCTGCTCTGAATCTCTTCTCTGCCCAGCCTGTAGCTGTGCCTGGGCTTGCTCCGACCTAGGTGTAGGACCTTACACTTGGCATGGTTAAAATTCATAAGGTTGTCGTCAGCCCACCTCACAAGCGTGCCAAGGTCCCTCTGGATGTCATGCCTTCCCTCCAGCATATCAAACGAACCACACAACTTGGTGTTGTTGGCAAGCTTGCTGAGGGTGCGTTCAATCGCACGGTCCATGTTGCCAACAAAGATGTTGAACAGGATCAGTCCCAGTGCTGACCCCTGAGGGACACGTCTTGTTACTAGTCTCCAAGTGGACATTGATCCATTTATGACAACTTTTTTTTATTTTTATTTTTATTTCAATTTTTTTTTTAATTTTTATTTCTAAACCAAGAAAATTGTGTCAACGAAGCAATGTTTAGGTCACTTAAGCAAGCCTCAGCTCAGCAGAACCTGGTCCTTTGGGTGACTTCAACTACCCAGACATTTGTTGGAAGAACAATGCAGCAGCCCATGTCATCCATCAAGTTCCTGGAATGCATAGAGGACTGCTTCCTCCCGCAAATGCTTTCAACAGTGTCCCACACGACAACCTTGTCTCTAAATTGGAGACACATCAATTTGGTGGATGGACTACTCGGTGGATAAAGAGTTGGTTGGATTGCTGCACGCAAAGTGTTGTCATAAATGGCTCAATGTCCAGCTGGAGACTAGTAACAAGCGGTGTCCCTCAGGGGTCAGCGCTGGGACTGATCCTGTTCAACATCTTTGTTGGCAACATGGACGGTGGGATTGAACGCATCCTCAGCAAGTTTTCTGATGACACCAAGATGTGTTGTTCAGTTGATATGCTGTAGGAAAGGGATGCCATCCAGAGGGGCTTTGACAGTCTCAAGAGGTGGGCCAATGCTTTCACGTCTTCCTTCTTCCCTCCAGGGCTTTATCCTATGGTACTCCACCAAGCAGATCCCTCAAGAGGCCTAAGTCTGCTCTTCTGAAGTCCATGGCAGTGAGCTTGGTGTGCAACTTCCTTGCCCCCCTAAGGATCTCAAACTCCACCATTTCATGGTCACGGCAGCCAAGGCTGCCCTTGAGCTCCATATTCCCCTCCACCCCCACCCTGTTTGTGAGGACAAGGTCCAGCATAGACCCCGTCCTCTTTGCTTCCTCTATCACTTGGAGTAGGATACCTGAGATAAAACCTGATAACCTGCTGCAATAAAATGACTGGCTTGGTAGATGAGGGGAGAGGGTCAATACTGGGTCCAGTCCTGTTTAACATCTTTAATGATCTGGATGGGGGAGAAGAGTGTACCATCAGTAAGTTTCCTGATGACACAAAACTGGGAGGCATGGCTGCCATCCAGAGGGACTTCAAAAAACTGGAGTAATGGGCTGACAGGAACCTAGTGAAGTTTGACAAGAGGAAGTGCTACATCCTGCACTTGAGGAGGAACAAGCCCAACAAGTGCCTGGGGGTACTGGTGAACACCAAGTGGAACATGAGCCAGCAATGTGCCCTTGCCACAAAGAAGGCTAATGGTATCCTCGGCTGCATTAGGAGGAATGTTGTCAGCAGGTCTAGAGATGTGATCCTTCTGCTCTTTTGAGCACTGGTGAGGCCACACCTGGAGCTCCATGTCCAGATTTGGGGCTCCCCAGTACAAGAGAGATGTGGACATTCTGGAGAGAGTCCAAAGGGCCACAAAGATGATTAAAGAACTGGAGGAAAGGCTGAGAAACCTGCAAATGTTTACACTAGAGAAGAGAAGGCTCAGGCAGGGATCTCATGGATTTGTACAAATACCCGAAGGAAGGGTATAAAGAAGATGGGCCACGGTGTTGTCAGTGGTGCCCAGTGACAGGACAAGAAGCAATGGGAACAATCTGAAACACAGGAGATTCCATATGAACATCAGGAAATGCTTTTACGCTGTGAGGGTGACTGAGCACTGGAAAAAGTTTCTCAGAGAATCAGAGAACACTGTATTGGAAGGGACCTCAAGGCTCAACTGGTTCAACCATAAGGATCATCTGGTCCAGCCTTTCTAGTCAAGCATGATCTAGACTACATGTCCCAGCATGCTGTCCAGGCAAATCTCGGATCTTGACCCAGAGGTATTCACTAGGGTTTCCATAATTGCTGTTGTTGACTTCAGTTGTGGAGTCTCTCTCCTTGGAGATATTTAAAAGCCTTGAACAGGTGACCTTGTTTGAGAAGGGATGTTGGACCAGATGATCTCTAGAGGTTCCTTCCAACTTGAGTATGGTCTGATCCTGCAGACTGTTCACTGTGAACACATCCTTTCCTCCCAAACAGGGAAAAACTGTAACTTTTTCCTTTTATCACTCTCTAGTTTTGAAAATGAAATATTTAAAAATTTTTTTTGTAGCTTTTGAATATATTTTTCACTCACTGGTGAGACAAAAGAGATATTATTGTATGAATCTGATTTTTTTTTCTCTGTTACCAAAGCCTCCACTCAGTTACCTTACAATACCTAACTTTTCACCTCAGGAGAACTTTCTGAAAGTACAGGTTCCTTAGAATCTGTGTGTTCCACATAATGCTTTCTGTGACAAGCACATTTAAAAAAAAAAAAGCTATTTTTAATTATTTCATCTTTTTCATATATTTGTTAAAAAAACACGACCAGCAAAACATTCAACTGCAAACTAATCATTTGGTGCATAAGTAGTTTTTTAAGAAGAAAATGGGTGCAATTAAGAATGAGTAATAATTATTGTCCTAAGAACCTTTAAGCAAAATATGGACAAGGCTATTACATTTTGTCATTACCACAGTGTAAATGGGGCATGAGCTTCAGTGGCAATATACTTACCATCATACTCTGGGAAATAATCAACTAAATGGGAGTACATAATTTTCTCCTCTAAGAGATCTTTTTTATTTAAGAACAGAATGACTGAAGAATTCTGGAACCATGGATATGTGATAATTGTCCTAAAAAGTGCTTTGCTTTCTTCCATTCGATTCTGGAATAAAGAAAAGAGATTAATTTATGCGGTCATGAAAATTTAAATAATTTTTTAATCAATCTATGCAATTCAATTTTATTTGATAAACAGATGCATTTCATGTTTTTCACCTTCTTACTGAAATGTAACTGATTCATGTAAAATGCATAGGTAAGTGGCAAAATTAAATATGCATGCAGTTTCCTTTTGGACAGCTCAGACATGATAGCTGCAACAGGTACGGTTGCAAATACTGATTAGGCACAGCTCTGATCAGTCAACAAATTCGTGGGTACTGAAATGCATGTGGTTCAAGGCAGAGACAACAGGATGCAATAACCAAGTTTAAAAAAATCTTATTTATTTTGCATGACTTTCCTGGACTTTAAATGCAAGTAATCCTTATTTTTTTGAAAGAGAACAGCTTTAAAACAGTTCCAGAAAAATTTGGAATTTTCCCACTGATAATCAGAGAATATTTCCCCAAATTAAAGGCTTATGACACAAAAACTTACAAATAGTAAATTTGTTTCTAGGACCATTTGGTCAGCCTTTACTTAAGCCTTGCTTAATAACTCCTAAAAAGTATTTTGCATTATAGTGGAAATGTAAGCTAGTGAAGCATACAGTTCTGCTGTATGCCCCTTACAAAGGGCTTTCTGACACTAAAATTCTGTTATGTTTTGATACGGTTCTGAACTGTTAGTCAGACATGATGCAGTTAATACAGAGACAAAACAAATTGAATTCAGTACTAGGAATTAACTCAACTTCTTTCTTGATTTGGAAAACTCTAACAAAGGCCTGATTAGCTACTTATGGATTTTTTTTTTTAGGATCTACTTCCTGAAAACCTTCATGGAGCTCAGATTGTCCTTTCATCAATTCTCCAGGATACAGGGGAGGACCCTAAAAAGGCTAGGAGGATTAGCCAAGTTTATAAATGGTTAGAACAGTGGTGCCATAGTCAGGGGTTTGGGTATCTTGAACATGGGACCCAAGTTAGTAGGCCAGGTCTACTGGGGCTGGTGGAGCTGGTCTGACAAAGGGGAAGAGCGGTTTTGAGAGGAGGATTGCCAGACTGGTCAAGGATGCTTTAAATTAGATGTGTTGGGGGAGGGGGGCAACATTCCATCCCAACACATCCAGTCAGTTGCCAGCACCTATAATAAATGCTTGGAGCAATGTAGAGATATTGCAGTGTCTCCAGCCAATGAGCCCGCTTCATTTGGAGCTTGGCTCAGATGCTTCTATACAAACGCCCGTAGCATGGGGAACAAACAGGAGGAATTAGAGGTGTGTGCATGTCTACAAGGGTATGATATAATAGGCATCACAGAAACATGGTGGGATGGCTCCTATGACTGGAGTGTTGGAATGGAAGGCTACAGGACCAGTAGGTGGGGAGGGAAAGTTGCTATTTATATCAGTGATAGGCTGGAAAGTATGGAACTCTGTCTGGGGACAGGTGAGCAGTCAACAGAGAGTTTGTGGGTCAGGGTTAAAGGGAGAACAGCAATGGGAGGCATTACTGTGGGGATCTGTGACAGACCACCTGATCAAGAGGAATCTGTGGATGAAGCACTCTACAGACAGATAGGAACAGCCTCACGCTCACAGGCCCTTGTTCTCATGGGGGACTTCAACCACCCTGATATCTGTTGGAGTTACGGTACGGCCCGGTACAAGCAACCCAGGAGGTTCCTCAATTGTGTGGAAGACAACTTCCTTCTGCAAGTAATAGAGGAGCCAAGAAGGAGAGGTGCCATGCTTGACCTCCTGCTCACCAACAGGGATCGGCTGTCTGGAAACATGATGTTCCAGGGCTGGGTTTAAACCACGACACCTTGGTTGCACCGATAACGAGATGGTCAAAGTTGAGATCCTCAGGACAGTGAAAAGAGCCTGCAGCAAGCTCACTGCCCTGGACTTCAAGAGAGCAGACTTTGGCCTCTTCAGGAACCTGCTCAGTAAGGTTCCAAGGGATATAGCCCTAGAGGGCAGGGGGGCCCAAGATTGTTGGTTGATATTCAGGGATCACCTTCTGCAAGCTCAGGAGTGTTGCATCCCAACTACAAGGAAGAGCAGCAGGAGGGCCAGGCGACCTTCTTGGATGGATAAGGAGCTCCTGAGGAAAATTTGAAGGAAAAAAGAGGCTTACAAAAGGCAGAAGCAAGGACAGGCGGCCTGGGAAGAATACAGGGAAGGTGTCTGGGAAGCTAGAGACCAGGTTAGGAAAGCTAAGGCCCAGTTAGACTTAAACTTGGTCAGGGATGTTAAGGATAACAGGAAGGGATTCTATAGGTACGTAGCGAATAAAAGACAGACTAGGGACAACATAGGCCCCCTCCGGAAGCTATCAGGAGAACTGGCTACCCTGGATTTGTAGAAGTCTGAGGTTCTTAATGACTACTTTCCCTCAGTCTTCACTGGCAAAGGCTCTGACCACACAACCCAAGTCTTGGAAGGTAGACGCAGGGACTGTGAGAATGAAGACCCTAGGCACACTGTAGGAGAGGATCTGGTTTGAGACCATCTTAAGAACCTGAACGTATATATATGTGGGAGAGCAATGGTGTATTGAAAATGTGGGATCTGAGCACGACGTGAATGGTATGGAATAAGGGGTGGATAATGTCCTGGGTTCAGCAGTAGCAGTCATGTTTTTCCTTTGTGGTAGCTGGTGCAGTGCTGTGTTTTGACTTCCAGCCTGGGAACAGTGTTGGTGAAGCCGATGTTTTCGGTTGTTGCTAAGTGATGTTTACCCTGACCAAGGACTTTGTGAGGCTCATGCTCTGCCAGGGAGGAGGGGAAGCTGTGAGGAAGCAGAGACAGGACACCTGATCCAAACTAGACAAAGAGGTATTCCATACCACAGCACATCATGCCCGGGGTGGGGGGTAACTGGGAGTTACCCGGAAGGACATGGGCTTCCGGGTGGGACTCGTTTCTTGGCCCGTGGTATCGTATTCTCTTCCCTTGTTATTTTCCCTTATCATCGTTGTAGTTGGTAGTAGCAGTGGTGATTTGTGTTGTACATTGGTTGCTGGACTGTTCTTGTCTCAACCCCTAGGAGTTGCAATCTTTCGATCCTCCTTCCCGTTCCTCCTTTGGAGAAGGCTGAGGTTCTCAATTACTTCTTTGCCTCAGTCTTCACGGGCAAGTGCTGTGACCGTGCTGCCCAAGTCTTGGAAGGCAAACACAGGGACTGCGAGAATGAAGACCTTAGGCCCACTGTAGGAGAGGATCAGAGTCAAGATTATTTTAAGAACCTGAATGGAAACAAGTCCTTGGGACCTGATGAAATCCATCCGTGGGTCCTGAAGGAGCTGGAAAATGAAGTTACTAAGCCACTGTTTATCATATTTGAAAAATTGTGTCAGTCAGGGGAAGTTCCAGACATCTGGAAAAAGGGTAATATAACCCCCATTTTCAAGAAGGGGAAAATGGATGATCCAGGGAATTACAGACCAGTCAGTCTCACCTCTGTGCCTGGAAAAATCTTGGAGCAGATTCTCCTGGAAGGCATGCTAAGGCACATGAAAAACAACTAGGTGGTTGGTGACAGCCAGCATGGCTTCACTAAGAGGAAATACTGCCTGACCAATTTGATGGCCTTCTATGTTGGGGCTATGGAACTTATGGACAGGGGTAGAGCCGTTGATGTCATCTACCTGGACTTGTGCAAAGCATTTGGCACTGTCCCACACGACATCCTTGTCTCTAAACTGAGGAGAAATCAATTTGATAGGAGGACCACTCAGTGGAGAAATAACTGGCTGGATGGCCACATGCAAAGAGTTGTGATCAACAGCTGAATGTCCAGCTGGAGACCAGTAATGAGTGGTGTCCCTCAGGGATCAGTATTGGGACCGGTCTTGTTCAACATCTTTGTCAGTGACATCGACAATGGAATTGAGTACGCCCTCCGCAAGTTTGCTGATGACACCAAGTTGTGTGGTTCAGTCGATATGCTGGAGGGAAGGGATGCCACCCAGAGACCTTGACACACTTGTGAGATGCGCCAATACCGAGCTCATGAAGTTCAACCAAGACAAGTGCAAGGTCCTACACCTGGGTCAGGGCAATCCCAGCCACAGCTACAGGCTGGGCAGAGAAGACATTCAGAGCTTCCCTGAAGAAAAGGACTTGGGGTGTTGGTTGATGATAAACTTAACATGAGCCGGCAGTGTGTGCTCACAGCCCAGAAATCCAGCCGTGTGCTGGGCTGCATCAAAAGGAGCATGACCAGCAGGTCAAAGGGGATGATCCTGCCCCGCTACTCTGCTCTCGTGAGACCTCACTTGGAGTATTGTGTACAGTTCTGGCATCCTCAACATAAAAAGGACATGGTACTGTTAGAACAAGTCCAGAGGACGGGCACGAGTATGATAAGGGGGCTGGAGCACCTCCCGTATGAACATAGGCTGAGAAAGTTTGGGCTGTTCAGCCTGGAGAAGAGAAGGCTGTGTGGAGACCTAATAGCAGCCTTCCAGCATCTGAAGAGGGGGGTATAGAGATGATGGGGATGGACTCTTCATTAGGGTCTGTAGTGACAGGACAAGGGGTAATGGGTTCAAATTTCAACAGGGGAAGTTTAAATAGGATATAAGAAAGAAATTCTTTACTGTTAGGGTGGTGAGGCACTGGAATGGGTTGCTCAAGGATGTTGTGAATGCTCCATCCCTGGCAGTGTTCAAGGCCAGGTTGGACATAGCTTTGGGTGACATGTTTTAGTGTGAGGTGACCCTGCCCATGTCAGGGGGATAGGAACTAGATGATCTTAAGGTCCTTTCCAATCTTAACTATTCTATGATTCTATGACCTAAAATAACAGTTTCACAACCAAACAGGCCTCCAGAGAACAAAATCAAGGAAGTAAGTGATGCATATGTAGCTGTTGCTGATCCAAAGTATCATAGAAGCATAGATAGAATAATTTCTGTTGGAAAAGATCCTTAAGATCGTGCAGTCTAACTGTTAACACTACCAAGTCCACCAGTAAACCATGTCCCTAA